TCTCTCTCTCTCTCTTTTTTTTTTTTTTAAATGGCATTTCTGGAACCCCAGGGACAAGTCAAAAAGACCAGCCTTTGGAAAACAGGGAACAGGAAAGTATCCCAATTATGGAGAACAGGAAAGCATAGTGGTTAGAACTGGATGAGCAGGAGGAATGAGAAGGAGAGGATGCAACTGGCCACAGGCCTAGGGTTTGTTATATTCTCTCTGCCAGGGTCGGGTCTGCCAGATCTTTGGTCAAGGCCATGGCTAGATGGGCTTGTAGGTTTACCTGCAAACCAGTAGAAAGAAGCAGGTTTTAAACAAGGGAAAATTAAAGATAAATTCACACATATACACAGTTTGTATTTATACCAGATGAAAAAGGAAAATAAAGCAGCTCTAGATAGCAGGTTCCATAATGAAATGAAATGCATAAAGATCACTATCCTAGGCATTAGTGAGCTGAAATGGACTGATGTTGGCCATTGTGAATCAGACAATCATACAGTCTACTATTCTAGGAATGACAAATTGAAAAGGAATGATGTCATATTCATTCTCAAATAGAACATTTCAAGATCTATCCTAAAGTACAATGCTGTCAGTGACAGGAAAATATCCATATGCCTACAAGGAAGACCAGTTATACTACTACTATTATTCAAATTTATGCACCAACCACTAAAACCAAAGATGAAGAAATTAAAGTTTTTACCAACTTCTATAGTCTGGAATTGACCAAACACTCGATCAAGATGTATTAATATTACTGATGATTGGAATGGGAGCTCTGGTGGTGTAGTGCCTAAGGCATTTAACTGCTAACCATAAGCCTGTAGGCTCAAACCCACTGCTTGGAAGGAAGGTTGGGCAATCTACTTCTGTAGTGATACCACCTTGGAAACCCAAGGAGGGGTTGCTATGAGTTAGATCAGACTTGACGGCAGTGAGTAAGTAAGTAGTGGTGACTGGAATGCAAAAGCTGCAAACAAAGAATCAGCATAGGTAGTTGGAAAATATGGCCTTGGTGATAGAAATGACAACAGAGATTGCATGATAGAATTTTGTAAGACCAACAACTTTTTGTAAATACTTTTTTTCAACAGCATAAATGGTGACTATACACACGGACCTCATCAGATGGAATACATAGGAATTAAATCGACTACATCTGTGGAAGGGAGCTCTGGTAGCTTAGTGCTTAAGGAACTTGACTGCTAACCAGAACCCTGGCAGTTCAAACCCACCAGCCGCTCCTCGGAACGAAGATGGGGCAATCTACTTCTGTAGTGATACTGCCTCCAAAACCCAAGGAGGGGTCGCTATGAGCCAAGTTCAACTCGATGGCATACAACAACAACATATGTAGAAAGAGATGATGGAGAAGTTCAATATCATCAGTCAAAATGAAGCCAGGAGATAACTGTGGAACAGACCATCAATTGCTCATATGCAAGTTGAAATTGAAGTTGAATAAAATTAAAACAAGCCCACAAGAACCAAAATATGACCTTGATTATATCCCACCTAAATTTAGAGACCATCTGAAGAATGGATTTGATGCATTGAACCAATAACTGAAAACCAGATAACTTGTGGGATGACATCAAGAACACAAAGAAAACAAAAGGTCATTAAAGAGACAGGAAGGGAAGAAGAGACCAAAATGAATGTCAGAAGAGACTCTGAAACTTGCTCTTGAACACAGAGTAGCTAAAGTGAATAGAAGAAATGATTAAATAAAAGAGCTGAACAGAAGGTTTCAAAAGGCAGCTTGAGAAGACAAAGTATTAGTAAGGAATGTGCAAAAATGTGGTATTAGAAAACCAAAAGGGAAGAAAATGCTTGTAATTTCTCAAGCTGAAAGAACTGAAGAAAAAATTCAAGCCTCAAATTGCAACACTGAAGCATTCTATGGGCAAAATATTGAATGATGCAAGAAGCATCAAAAGAAGACAGAAGAAATACATAGTCACTATACCAAAAAGAATTGGTCAACGTTCAACTGCTTTAGGAGGTAGCATATGACCAAGAGCCAATGGTATTGAAAGAAGAATTCCAAGCTGCACTGAAGAAACTGGCAAAAAACAAGGCTCCAGGAATTGGCAGAATACCCACTGAGATGCTTCAACAAATGGATGCTGTAGTGGAGGTGCTTACTTGTTTATGCCAAGAAATTAGGAAGGCAGCAAACTGAACAAGCAACTGGAAGAGATAGATATCTGTGCCCATTTCAAAGAAAAGTTAGAAGAAACTACATCACAGTGTGAGGCTAATAGAATATGGAAAATTTTGAACAGTATCACAAATATCACATGGAAATAAAATTTTGCTGAAGATAATTCAAAAGCAGTTGTACCAGTATATTGACAGGGAAATGCCAGAAATTCAAGGTGGATACAGAAGAGGATGTGAAATGAGGGATATCATTGCTGATGTCAGATGGATTTTGGCTGAAAGCAAAGAATACCAGAAAGATGTTTGTTGTTGTGTTAGTCATCAAGTCGGATCCAACTCATAGCAACCCCTCCTTGGGTTTCTGAGACGGTATCTTTGTTAGAAAGATGTTTACCTATGTTTTATTGACCATGCAAAGACATTAGACTGTGTAAACCCAAAACCCATTGTCGTCGAGTTGGATCTGACTCATAGCAACCCCTCCTTGGGACTTCAAGGTGGTATCTTTGTAAGAAAGATGTTTACCTGTGTTTTATTAACCATGCAAAGACATTAGACTGTGTAAATCCAAAATCCACTGCCATTGAGTCAGATCTGACTCGTAGCAACCCCTCTTTGGGTTTCTCAGGCAGTATCACTACAGAAGTAGATTGCCCAACCTTCCTTCTGAGGAATAGCTTGTGGGTTTGAACCGCCAGCCTCCTGGTTAGCAGTCAAATGCCTTACGCACTATGCCACCAGAGCTCCTTAGACTGTGCAGATTATAACAAATTATGGATAGCACTGTGAAGAAGGAGGATTCCAGAACACTTAATTGTGCTCATGAGGAACCTGTATATAGACCAAGAACCTGTATATAGAGGCAGTCATTTGAACAACAACAAGGAGGCAGGTTCCAAAAGGTTCTGCCAGGTTCTGAGCCAACCCTCTTGATTATCTTTGAAGAAGTAGGCTCAGTGAAGCAAAAACCGCAGAGAGAAGGAGTGGAGAGAAAACCCTACCGCTGTTGGATGAAGAAGTGTAAATAAAGGATGAAGGAGTGTCAGAGGCCTTTTCTGGTTCAGATCAGGAACTCATAGAGTGGAGGCTGGGTAGCCTCAATGTACTAGGTCAGGGATTGGTAGCATTCTCTGCTTGGATTCATATTGGGCATACCAAAGTCTCAGGAAAGGGCTTCCTAGCATCCCTAGGGACGTGCCTCCTGAGAGAGTTACTGCACTGCAATTAGAGATGTTCATGATAGAAAGTGTGTTGCTCAGGTGAACAACATAGCAGCAGAAAACAGAATGAGGGCCACAGGCTGCCTTTGAGGCAGGCACTTTGTCCCACCGACTAAAATTGTAAAAAGGGATTGGTTCAGACATTGGAAATTAAAATATCTGCTGAGGACCTCCCAAAGCTTGGCTTTTCTATTCCCAGAATCAGTGAGTACAGTCAGCAAAGCCTTTTTTTCTCCTGCTCTCCTTTCAATACTCCATGCAAGTCCTGCTTTCACCATCATTCTCTTGCTGGAAATATCTATGGTTTATTGTACTTAATTCTGAACTTAATTTCCCTCGCACTGTGATGTAGTTTCTTCTAACTTTGTGCATCTTGTCTTTCCAAATGTATGTCATGCTTATCATACATAATGAAAAAAGTTAGCAGCAACTGATTTCTGGAATTGCCAACTCCATTTCTTTTCATCATAAAACCCTTTCATTCTGACTCTAAAGTTTTCGCATTCTTGTATAGAACATTCTTTTTTTAAGATTTCTCAAGTTCTTCCTTTTGGTCAAACAGTAGTATTAAAGGGCTATGTCTTTTTAAAGGCTGTTGTGTCTGGAAGAATCCCTATACTAACAAAACTCAATCCATATAAAACGATACAGTCTTACTTTAGACCCAGGCTCTCGCCTCCGCCTAATCTTCTTTCCGACTTTTATTAGCTTTCACCTTTAAGTGCCCATGGACTGTGACACTTTATCTTTCCACATCAAAATTTAGTGCCCATTCTTCTGACACATCAGACACATCCTCTGCTTCTGTGGCATAAGCTTGGCTTTGAACTTTGCCACTATTTCCTTGTTGTCTGAATCTAACCTATTCCCTGGGCTTACTCCAGTTTCAATTATGATAGCTCCTTAACATTTTACCATGCTACATAGCTGAGATGGGACATCTCTCATCTTTATAATTTTCATCTTGTCAGTTCAAAATTCAGGAACACCGGACTTGTAAAACATCATCCCTGTGCTTAGACAAGAGTTTGCCTTTAGAGCTTTCTCTACCACCACTCTCTTTTCTACTCTTCCTATTTTTTTTTTTTAATTGATTTAGAACACCTAGAAAGAGACTGACCTAGAAAATTCTCTTTCCTATAGAGGCACAACAGTCCCTTGGCTTACCTAGGAAAGGTAAGCCTATCATCAAAGTCACTTGCCATGTCCTTTTCAGGAAGCCAGAAACATTTTTAGTTCTGCTTTCAGGTTAGGGAGAGTTGTATTGCTTTCCCAGACTAGAACTGGGAATGCATCTCCTCATAGAAAAAAATGTTAATAGATGATGGTTAGTTTATTTGAAAGGTTGTATCTATCTTTCAAGTATATTAATATGAAAAATGAGTTTTTGTGGGCTAATGTATAAAAATCTCTCACATACATTTCTACAGAAAGTAATTTTCAAGCTCCACAGTGGCAAATGATTTTAAGACAAAATCTAACAAAAATTAAAGCAAGCATGGAATCCAAATTCTTCTAAGAGGTCTTCCACAACAAGATTAAACACACAACATCTACATATACAAATGAATAGAAAGAAACATCTTTATACATTAGAGATTATATTCTATTTCAACACACCTGTTGTCTTCCTCCAGATTTATCCTGGATGATGGTCCTGGCAACAGCACCAGTAAACACACAACATCTGAAAAATGAACTGATGACATTGCAAAGGCCGATGGCTATTAAATCCTGTAAAGCAATGGCAGATACGTTAGGCTCATTACTTGTTGAAGAATGTCAATTTGGTTTTGCAATAAAGGTGCATTGTTTATTTCTTGAATATGAGAATAGGCTTATTTACATAACTTCAAACGAAAGAGTGAAATATTCTTAGAAAGAATAAAAGGATGACAAATCTGATTTTCTAGATTAAGTTAAATCTTCATTTGAGCTAGTGATAGTATGGAGAAAACTTTATCAAGGTAAGAATATGAGGCTCTTGGCTTTTTGTTCTCTTTCATATGATCACCAGGGCTTAGAATGATAGGGAGAAGCACTATAGTATTATTCTCCCTTCTATACTATTGCATACCCTCTTCTCATTTATCAACTATCTCATTATTTGATATACTGCATTTATGACAATAGTTAAACAATCTACTATTTGACCATTCTTCTCATAACAACATACATCTGGCAATACTGAATACTGAGATGCAAGGCAAGAATAACACTGACTGTGATGGTTACGTTTGTTTCCACTTGGCTGAGCCATGCATGATTCTCAGTGGTTTTGCAGTTATGTAATGATGTAATTTCTCAGTTATGTAATGATGTTGTCATCCTTCATTTTGTGATCTGATATGGTCATCCTCCATTTTTGCATAATGCTAATTTTCACATAATGACCTGGTCTTTAGAACCTAACCATGTCTGTAAGTGAGGAGAGAGTGTATTCTAAAAGCCAAACTGGGACATCTCCTGCTTCCATGCTTTCCTCTTGAGTTCCAGGGAAAGAGGCAAAGTAGGAGTTGTTGGAAAGTTCCCTTAAAAAAAAAAAAAAAGGCAAAGACTAATTCTAGGAAGTCAATTTAATTATAGGTGGTCCCAAACTTATAACAGAGTTCCATTCTGATGACTCTGTCATAAATCAAATACTTCTCTCTCTTTTTTAGCTATCATTATTATTGTCTTTTATTATCAGTATTTTTATAAATCCAGCAGTGTTTAGAACAGCAAATCATAAGATTGAACATTTTCGAGTGAACCTCTGAGAATGATAACATCAGCAAGTTATGCACTGGTATATATTACTAATGACAAGATATACAAAAAAAAAAGGAAGTGCAGTTTGTCATAACTCAAATATGTCATATGTCAGGGACTACCTGTATATTAGTAGACTGGTTTTGTTTATGATATCATATAGCATTTGCACCTCAGAGTATGTGATGACCTCTAAGGACTGGGTGGAAGGTAAAGTTAAAAGAGGAACTCTGCTACTTTCTAGTCTATTATCATGATGGTATATGTTATCTGCTTGCCTCTCTGCCATATCTGTCTAGAGGAGTAGCACTCGTGTGAATTCAAGTGGCTTCAAACTTAAGTATACCTCACTCCTCAAAAATCCTTTGGTTATTATGATCCAATTTATGGCCCAAGTGACTCTTTGGTTAGAGAAGAATCCAGCCTTCACGTTGGCAGGAGGGTCAGAGTACAGAGCAAAGGCATAATGGTCAGAGGCAATATTATGAATTGAATTGTGTCCCCCCCAAAATATGTGTTAGAGTCTTGACTCTCATACCTGTGGATATAATCCCACTTGGTAACAGGATTTTCTTTGTAATGGGGTCATATCAGTGTAGGGTATGTCCTAAGCCTAATCACTGCTGAGTTATAAGCAGCAGCATAGACACAGAAGCAAGCAAACACAAATGGAGGAAAGACAGATGCCATGTGGAAATCTCCAAGGAATTGAGGAATATAAGCCAAGAGACAAAGATTTTCCCCAGGAGTAGAGAGGGAGAGGCTTCTCCCAGAGCCATGGTCCCAAATTTGGACTTCTAGCCTCCTAAACTGTGAGAAGGAGCTCTGGTGGTGTAGTGCCTAAGGCATTTGACTGCTAACCAGAAGTTTGGTGGTTCAAACCCACCAGCCACTCTGCGATAGGAAGACTGGGCAATCTATTTCTGTAAAGATTTACCATGTCAGAAACCCAAAGGGGGTCACTATGAGTCAGAATTGACTCCATGGCATTGAGGTTTTTTTTTTTTTTTTAAACTGTAAGAAAATAAATCTCTGTTCGTTGCGGTATTTTTGTTACAGCAGCACTAGGAAACTAAAATAAGCAGTACAGAAAGTCCTGTCCTCTCACCTGGTTGGAATTGACACTGTAGTTGTGGGCAGCAGCAATCTTCTTGCCCAGAAATATGAGCAGAGAGGAGCTCACTAAAGCTAAAGAGATGGCTTGTAAAATAATCTTGGGAAGGACCTCCATATTTGGTATTACAGGAAACAGGAAGCTGAAATAAAATGGTGGAATTATTCCTAAATGACAGGAATTCCTTTATTGGCACGTCCTCACTCCACCTTTCTCCAACTGAACAGGCCTGACTCTTTTTAATAAAGGACACACAGAACCTGTGAGGCAGCAGCCTGCCAAATTGCCAGCAACCCAAGCCAAGTTACAAAAGCCATGGCAACAAAGACAACAAATAGGACAGGCAAAACCACAATGATTCATGAAAAAAATGATTTATTTATACTGTTTGAGACCATACCGACAGGTAAACAATAGGCAGAGATCACATCCAATGTATATTTAGACCCAGCAAGCACAGTGAATTCCTTCTGTCCACACTCAAATCCTTCATGGTATAATTTTAGTTACTGCCTTTTATGCAAATTACTTCCAAATTCTTCCCCCACTTTACACCTTATAGTTCTGAAATCACCAGAATGTTGAGACTTGTTCATTTTGCTAATAGTCATGATCATCTAATTCTACTAACACAATATATCCTATTCCTACTAAGATTATATAATACAAAACATTCCCAAACACATATTACCATGATCAGAACCTTTTACTGGCATATCTGTCACCCTATTGTTAACTAGTAAACTCTCCTTCTTTAATATAATACACTTTCTTCTTAGTATTACCATCATATTGCTGTCCAGAGAATTAAGAAATATTCTAATTCTTATGGGAACAGATCTCTGTCCTTTCATGTATTGGTTTAGTCATTTTACTCTGCTGTGCAGAGTATCTGTTAAATTAACTTCTGTGTAGTCAGTTTTAGGCTGTGACTTCTTAGAAATTATGTTTTTGGTTCCCCTTGTATGCATGTGGGAGCTCTGGTGGCATACTGCCTAAAGTATATGACTGCTAACCAGAAGGCTGGTGGTTCAAACCCACCAGCCACTCCTCAGAAGGAAGGCTGGGCAATCTACTTCCGTAGTGATACTACCTCGGAAACCCAAGGAAGGGTCACTATGAGTGGGATCCGACTTGACAGCAGTGTGTTTGTTTTCGTTTGTTTGTTTGTTTTGTATGCATGCAGCATAGCACCACTCAAAAGTATTTGATATTTTCTTTTTAAAGTTGAACACTTTCAATTAGGGACATAGCTTCATGAGACTATTTAGTCAATTGGCCTAAAATAGTTTTTAAAGTTGAATAGCACCTGGAGTTTTAAAAGCATGCTAGCAGCCACCGAAGAGACATCAACTGGTCTCTATTTGCCTGGAGCAGCAGAGAAAGAAGACAACCCAGGAATTGAAGAATGAACTGGATTGCAGGTCTAACTGCCTCCTTTGTCATGAGACTAGAAAAACTAGATGGTACCCAGCTACGATTACTGAATGGTCTGATCAAGGACTCAATAGATGAGTCCTGATCAAAAGGGAAAAAACTGTGAAACAGAATTTCAAATTATTATGGAATCCAGACTTATAGGACCCATTGAGACTGGAGGAACCCCTGGACCTAGTGCCCTGAGAAAATAAATTTAAAACTTGAACTGAAACTATCCCCTAAAGTTATCTTCAAACTAAAAATCAATTTAGCTTAATTAGTAAAATATATTTGCCTTGAGCATTCTGTTCCCTCCTTTAAATAATTATTTGTATGAGGTCAGATTTCCAATAGTAATTCTAAAGCACTGATAAGAAGTTTAAGGGGTAGTGAATGGTGCTAAACAATACAGGTAGAGATAGCAAGAATGGTGATACAACATGAGGAATGCAACCAATGTCATTGAAATGTGTTACAAATTGCTGAGTGGGTGAACTGCTGTTACCAAAAATATTTTTAAAAGACTAAAAAAAATAAGTAAAAACATATATTGCCCAAAAAAAGGAGAACACTTCCAAACATTTATATAAAAAGGAAAGGATGGCATAGGGGCCCTCATGTACTCATCACCCATCTTCAGCACTTAACAATTCACAACCAATTTTATTTAATCTGTACTTCTACCCACTTTCTATTCCAAGATTATTTTGAAGGAAATCCCAGGCATTGTATAATTTCATTTGTAAATATTTCAGTGTACCTTTCTAAAAGATGTACAGCAAAAAAATTATTATTAATTTCTTAGTATTATTAAATGTCCAACCAATATTCAGGTACCCCCATATGACTCATAAACATCTATTTTAAAAGCTGTTCAAATCAGAATCCAAATAAGGTCTATACATTATAGTTGGGTGCTATGTCTCTTAAATGTCTTTTAATCTAGAGACTCCCCATCCATATACTTTTGTTTTCACCCTTCCTTATACTTTTTGTTAAAGAAACCTGGTCATTGGTTTCCGCCAGTGTGGATTTTACTGACTGAATCCCTGTGATGTCATTTAACATTAGTTCCTCTGCTCCTTGAATTTGCTGTAAATTGGTAGGTAGTCCTTCAGGTTTGGTCAGATTTGGGACAGGTGTTTGTGAGCAAAAATATTTTATAGGTAGTGGTGTGTACTTCTGTCAGGAGGCACACACAATGTTTGCTTTTTTTGTGATGTTAGCAGCAACCAATGATTGTTGCTAGTACCCCTTAATGGTGATATTCCAATTCTTTCACTTCTTCTCCCATTATTGACTGGAATACTTATTATAAAGTGAAATGCCTTTTTATCAGCTGTTTGGATACCCTGAAAAGCATTTCCTATAGGAAAGGCATGATAAATGCTTGATTCTTTCCCTGTATTTAATAATCTTCAAAATAATAATGTGTCTCTCTAGCATTATTCAAGGGTGAAAAAAATGAGCTTTCTCTTTTAGAATATTTACATATTCATAGATTTAAGCATATTGATGTGTTCGGCTAGTGATAGTCTCTTTAAGACAGCTTCTTGGTTCTTTAAAATTTTCATTCATATAACATAAAATTTCACATAACATAAGATTCGCCAGTTTGAAATCAACAATTTAGTGGTTTTTAGTATATTCACAAGGTTGTGCACCCATCATCACTATCTAATCACAGAACATCTATATTACCCCAATGGGAAGCCCTATACCTTCAGCAGTCACTCCTAAGTTCCTCTTTCTCTCAGCTCATGGAAATTACCAATCATTAGTGGTGTACAGAAATACAACTGATTTTTTATATATTGATCTTGTGCCCTGCAACTCTGTTGAAGTCATTTATTCATCGTAGGACCTTTTGACATGACTCTAGTAGTCACTGAGAGTGTCACTGCTTTCTGGTAGGACAATATATTCCAGATTTGTGTGGTGTGTTTCCTTCCCTAGACCTGGAATCAGCCACTTCTCCAAGAAGTCTGTTATGGATTGAATTATGTGCCCCCAAAGTACATGTTGTAAATCCTAACCTGTGTGTCTGTGGTTATAACCCTATTTGGGAATGGGTTGTCTTTGTTATATGAGGCAGAATTAGTGGGGAGTGTATCTTGAGTCCATCTCTTTTGAGATATAAAAGAGATTAAACAAGCCAGCAAGCAGAGATAGGGGAAGGTAGCTGCCAAACCACATGACGATCACCCAGGAACAGAAGCTCAAAAAAGACAAAGACTTTCCTCCAGAGCTGACAGAAAGAAAGCCTTTCCCTAGTGATTCTTGGAGAGATACATGAGTAGTGAAGCCTGGTTTATAGATTATGGGGAATGGACACTTACTTGACAATTATATATGGACTCTAAATGTACAATTACAGTTGTAACATTTTAACACTACCATTTATCTTATGTTGGAAAGAAGACTGGGGAATCTACTTCCGTAGAGATACACCCTCAGAAACCCAAGGAGGGGTCGCTATGAGTCTGAATCAACTTGAAGGCAGTGGGCTATTTTTATTTTTTTGAGACTGAATTTGGACTTCTAGTCTGCTGTTTGTTAAAGCCACTCACTTGTGGTATTTCTGTCATACCAGCACTAGATAACTAAGACAAAGACCTCATTTCTTTTAGTGAGAAAAGGCATCTAGAGACTACAAACCGGGTACTAATAGTGTACATTGTTCCTGGATGGCTATTGTTTCTAGGCTTCGGCAAATAGAATTATGAAATAAGGATTTTTTAAAAGACAAACTGTATCATGAATTTATACAAATAGTTTCAACTCAAATACAGAACTACAGGGTTTTTATGTGAACTCATGGACCTTACATCCTTTTTTCTATGATGAAAATCCCAGTTCTCAGCAGCACCAACATAGTTATTCATTGTTTTTATCCCACATGCACACAAAACAGAAAGACAATGACATCACTAAAAACAACATCATACTGTTTAAGTAAGTTTAAGATTTTTTCAGTTTTCCTTAGGTTTTATTACATTAGGGATGTACAATCAAGTTGCTGTAGTTTAATGTCACTTGGAATAGTTCTCTGGGAGTTTATGCCACCAACTCAATACATCAGTTCATTTTTTTTTTAAGGATTGTTGATTTTTTATTTAATTTTGTTTTTTTAAAAAATGTAAGATAATTATGTAATTCCAGAGTCAAATACAAAACCCAAGGTATTTTTAGAGAAGGTTAGCTTCCTTTACTATCCTCTCCACCCTAATAGTTCCCTCTCTAGCAGAACCTTTAAAAATGTTACACTTTTCAAGGTGTCAGGAGGCCTGTACTCCTTCTGGAGACTTGCCTTTTCCAGCTTCTAGAGGCTGCCTGCCTTCCTTGGCTCACAGCCCCTTCCTCCATCTTCAAAGCCAAAAAAGGCTTTCACAGGCTATATCACTCTGACATTGCTCTTCTGTAGTCACATCTTCCTCTGATTATAGGTAGTCCCTGGGTTACAAACCAGATCCATTCCTAAGTATGTTGTTAAGCAGAATTTGTAGGTAAGTTGGAACAGGTGCATATGGTTCTTATTTAGCCTTACTTTAGTGCAAGAAAAGGCTCAAAGCCCTTTCAATGATTTAAAAGCTGTATGTGCAACAAGTTGTGATTGTGATAAAGAATTTGTTGTGAGTTATAGGTTGGTTTAATCATTTCAAAGAGAGGGCAAATTTATATAACATTAAAGGGCAAGGAGAGTTGTTTGTAAATCAGACATTT